ATTTGTGAACACACCCCAATAGAATGGGATTTCACAAAGGAAAAATGGACACCTATTAGAACAAACTAGAGCTCTACTTTTTCAAAACCATGTTCCTAAGAGATTTTGGGGGGAAGCTCTTCTTACTGCCACCTATCTCATCAATAGGTTACCCACTAAAATCTTAGACTCAAAAAGCTCCATGGAAGTTCTATCCTCATTCTACCCACACTTGGATCCTACAAATAAACTCCAACCGAGAATATATGGGTGTATCCTTTGTGCATGTTCATAGTAATGAAGGAAGAAAATTGGATCCTAGGGTTGTCAAATGCATATTCTTAGGGTACTCTACCACACCAAAGGGATACAGATGTTTTCACCCCTATCAAAAAAATTCTATGTGACAAGAGATGTCACCTTCAACGAACGAGAGAGCTACTTCAAGCAGCCTCATCTTCAGGGGGAGAATGTAAGAAAGAAAGATGAGACTCTCATGCTTCCAAATATGACATTTGGACCTGAAATTGGGACAAATGACATTGCTGTCCCTGAAATTGAGAGAAGAGCAGGACCTGCACTTGAACCAACAGCAGGACCTGCACTTGAAACAACAGCAGGACCTACACCTACACCTGAACCAACAGCAAGACCTGCACCTGAACCCGCACCTAATGATGGAAAATTTAGAAAAAATCTGGTATATTCAAGGAGAGAAAAGGCCATTCTAGAATCTGGCAATGTCCAAGAGTCCAGCCCATCATCACTGCATGAGGTAACACTTTCGAATCCTATAAACTCCAATGATTTTAATGAGTTTGTTTCTGAAAATTTAGAAGCACAGGTGGACCAAAATCTAGACCTACCCATTGCCCTTAGAAAGGGAACTAGAACATGCACCCAACAACCACTTTACCCACTATCAAATTTCTTTTCCTTTGAAAATTTCTTACCTACCCATAAAACCTTCCTCACAAACCTCAACTCCACACACACACCTTCCTCTGTATCTGAAGCATTATCTGACAGAAAATGGAAACAAGCCATGGATGTGGAAATGGAGGCGTTAAGCAAGAATAAGACCTAGGAACTTGTCACCCTACCAACTGAAAAAATATCAGTAGGATGCAAGTGGGTATATACAGTAAAGTACAGGGTTGATGGGACCATTGAACGTTACAAGGCAAGATTAGTGGCCAAAGGCTTCACTCAAACCTATAAAATTGATTACTTGGAGACATTTTCCCCGGTTGCTAAGATGAACACGATTAGAGTAATATTGTCATTTGCAGCAAATCATGATTGGGACCTGCAGCAGTTCGATGTGAAGAATGTTTTTTTACATGGAGACCTTGAAGAAGAAATATACATGGAGTTGCTCCCTGGTTACAATGGACAGGTTGTTGCTGAAACTGTTTGTAAGTTAAGAAAGGCTTTATATGGGGTGAAACAATCCCCAAGAGCGTGGTTTAAAAGATTCGCCAAAGTTATGACAGGTCCGGGCTATAAACAGAGTCAAGGGGATCACACATTATTTATCAAACATTCAGTTTTAGGGGGGTAACAATTTTATTAGTGTATGTAGATGATATTATAGTAAGTGGGGATGATAAAAAGGAGCAGCAAGTGTTAAGTGAATGCCTTGCCACAGAATTCGAGATCAAGACATTAGGGAGACTTAAATATTTTTTGGAAATTGAAGTGGCCCATTCCAAGAAAGGAATCTTCATATCTCAGCAAAAATATATTATTGACTTGCTTAATGAAACAGGTAAGACAGCCTGCAGACCAGCAAGTACCCTAGTTGACCCAAATATAAAGTTGGGAAGTGCGGAGGAGGATATTGTCGTGGACAAGGAAATGTATTAAAGACTTGTGGGCAGACTTATTTACTTATCTCACTAAACCAGACATTGCTTTTGCTGTAAGTCAAGTCAGCCAGTTTATGCACCAACCAAAGGAAGCACATTTACAAGCTGCTCTTAGAATTGTCCAGTATTTGAAAGGGACCCCAGGAAGAGGGATTTTGTTCAAATGAAACAAGAGTGTAAGTCTTGAAGCATATACGGATGCGAACTATGCGGAGTCAGTGGAAGATAGGAGATCAACTACTGGATACTGCACCTTCCTTGGTGGAAACCTCGTGACTTGGAAGAGCAAAAAAACATAGTGTAATAGCTAGATCGAGTGCAGAAGCATAATTTCGAACAATGGCCCAAGGAATATGTGAACTTCTATGGCTGAAGATTATATTGGAAGACTTGAAGATAAGATGGGATGAATCTATGAGGTTATATTGTGACAACAAATCTGCAATTATTATAGCCCACAACCCGGTGCAGCATGATAGAACTAAACATATCGAGGTTGACAGACACTTTATCAAGGAAAAACTAGACAGTGGCATGATTTGCACACCATATGTATCCATTCATAATCAACTTGACATACTCACCAAGGGGCTGAACTACGGTAACTTTGAAAGAATCATATCCAAGCTGGAAATGAAAAACACCTATTCACCGGTTTGAGGGGGAGTGTCAAAACAATGTCTTTGTGTATTTTAGGAAAGTTCATATTTGTAGTAATTCTGTAACAGTTGTATCTTTTTAATTATTAGGTTTTTTATATAAGATCAATCCCATAATCACAAGAATTTGTTTCCTTAGAACTAGCTGTCCATATTTCTTAAAATAGACTACAAGCTCATGTATATATATAGGTCCAGTGACCTCATGATAATATAACAAGAATATTATTTCTTCTAAGTTTAATAACTATTGTTGGTAGTAATTTGTATTTGGACCTTTAGTAAGTAAGATCTATTAGGTTAGAATTCTCTCTATAAAGAGATTAGTGATTGTGTGGTTTATTCACACCGAAATATATAGTATCACACCGAGATATATAGCAATCAGTTTTCACATGATATCACGAGCTCTCGTTTGAGAGGGTCCTACTTCCGCATAAAAAACTAGCAATCTTCTTTGTGACCCCTTTTTGCTACCTTCAGTGCAGTATCTTACTTCCGGTTAAAAAAAAACACTACCCATGCCACGTGCATTGTTCACACATGTTTCCCTTTGTTTCTTCGCCCATCTCACTGCCATCGCCTTGAAAAAAACCGTTTGGAATCTAGAGTTTCACCAAAGTCCAAGCCACCAACCTCCGATGCGTGACAACCACGCGCCACATTCTCAATCGTCTTTTCCCTTTCCCATAATGTTTATTGATGTGTTCTCTATCTGTTTTGGGTGATGACTCTCTGATTCGAGCATTTTCATTCACGGGTCATTTGAAACTCACTTGTTTTTTTGCTCCTTTTATTCTCATGATTGTTGTTGGAGACGCAACAATGATTAATTAGGAACCAGAAACAGGGGAACCCAACCGGAATTACCAACATTCCTCTGACTTACAAGTTGAATTAAAACAATTACATAAAGTGGTTTCAACTCGTGAAGACTACCTTGAAAGGTAAAGAGAAGGTGAAACACCTAACTGACAAACCTCCTAAAGAGATAGATCCCGTGTTTCGTGTTTAAGAACTGAGATATAGATTCAACTATCATTGCATGGTTATGGCGTTCAATGATTCCAAAAATCAATGGCACTTGCATGTTTCTCATGGTGTTCAATGATTCCAGAAATCAGTTACACTTGCATGTTTCTCAGTGCAATAAAGAAGATTCGAAAGGGCGTTAGAAGAGACTTATTCTAAAGCCAAAGATGTTGCTCAAATATTTGTATGATGTGAAACTGAAAATAGCAGTTGCTCTGCTAAAGAGGGAAACAAAATAGTCACATAGTATGCAAATCGTCTCAAAGCCTTATGAATAGAGTTGGACAGTTATAAAAGGCAAGTGTTCAAAAGATTGAACACTTGGCTTTTATTACGTTGCAGTAGTCCAGCTCCATCTTCAAGGCTTTAAATTATTTGCATACGCTGTAACTATTTTGTTTTCCTCTTTTAGCAGCCACTATTTTCACTTCCACATCATATATTTAGGCAGCATTTTTGGCTTTTGAATATGTTTTTTCTAGTGCCTTCCAAATCTCCTTTGGTATACCGAGAAACATGCAAATGTCACATTTCTGGAATCATTTGAATACGTCTCTTCTAATTCCTTCCAAATCTCCTTTGTTGTACTAGAAACATAAGTGTCACTGATATATGGACTTATTGAATGCCATAATAACCATAAAATGATAGTTGAATCTTCTGTATCCCAATTAAACTTGAGATTCGTCAACTAGGTGTCCTTCCTTCCCTAATCCCTTTACCTTTTAAGGTTGTTTTCACGAGTTGAGGTCACTACAAATAATTCTTCTCATTCATCTTGTAAGAAAGAGGAAAATTTGGTACCTCTGTTTCAAGTTCCTGATTAATCACTAATGTATCTCTCATGATAGCCATCGTAAAAAAAAACAAAAGGTAAAATGAGCAAAAAACACGAGTTCCAAATGACACAAATGAAGGTTCCAAGATCAGAGTGAGCACCCAAATAAAAAACAAGAGGTCCTGTTCTGACGCCCAAAAATGGCGATGTGTAGGGAGGCACATGGTTGTGTTAGGGACCAAGTGAAGAAAGATGGGCCAGATATAGAAATGACAAATCATATTGGGCCTAGGAGTGCTAAGATCTGGCAGGTTTATTCTAGAAGGAAAAAAGGATCTCACACCATGTGATAGCTATGAGGTGGCAGAGAGAGAGTAGTGGCTTTAGCAAATATTGTTAGACGGTTACAATAAATGAGGAGGTAAGGGAATTGGGGACGTACGCTAGAAGATTCATTTAGCAATCATTGGATGGGGGGCTGTTAAGCACTCCATAGGAGCCTAGCTCTGTGGCAGTTAGATCATTGAATCTTCTGTAAATCTTCTTACCATCATACAATAATAGCCATTAATTTCTATCAGCTTCTATCCTTTTGTCTTAAATTTATTTGTTACTGTCGGTACCTAACATTGGTCCGACCTGCCAGATACGTAGAAGGAGCCAGTGAAGGAACGTTGGTGGATGCCGCCGAAGAAGAAAACAATAGCAAACATGGAGGCGAAGATTGCAGATCTGGAGCAAGAGTTATCGTTGATGAAGGTTGCTTTTTCTGACTCCATCGCTGAGGTTCAACAAACGGCGAGGGAGAACCAAAGAGCGTTGATGCAGATGATGGAGAAGGTCCTTGGCAAAAAGGTGGTTGAAGTTGATGATGGTGTCTCGTCGGCGGTCAAGAAGGCTACAACATCCTCAGAGTTGAAAGGTGAAGCTTTGGATGAATTTAGAAGATCGGTTAAGAAGGTGGAGTTACCGGCGTTCTCCGGTGATGATCCGGCCGGATGGATCTCTAGAGCCGAAGTCTATTTTCGTGTGCAGGACACAAGTGCTACAGTGAAGGTGGGGATGGCGCAGTTGAGCATGGACGGGCCAACCATCCATTTCTTTAACTCTCTGTTAGAGGAAAACCCAGATCTGACATGGGAGGAGTTCAAGGTGGAGCTTCTAGAGAGGTATGGAGGTTTGGGAGAAGGAGACGTTTATGAGCAACTTACGGAGATTCGTCAAAAGGGTACGGTGGAAGACTATATACAAGAGTTTGAGCGTTTAACAGCTCAGATTCCAAGGCTGCCTGACAAACAGTACCTGGGGTATTTTTTGCATGGATTAAAAGATGAAATCAGAGGTAGGGTTCGGAGTTTTGTGGCTATGGGTCCACTTACAAGGAGCAAATTAATTCATGTTACCAGAGCAGTGGAAAGGGAGATAAGTGGTGGGTCGGGCTGGAACCGGAATCCGAAAATAGGTGGGTCAAACCGGGTTAACCCGGGAAGACATGGAGGTACAAATTGGGTTTTTGTGAAAGGGGGTCAGAATAGTGGAAATCATAACGGGATTGGGCCTAGAGGTGTTAATGGCCCAATTCATGAATCCAAACATGGTACTGCAGATAGGAGGAAGGGGGGTGTGCGTGAGAAGGGGTTTACCCATTTGTCTTATCAAGAACTAATGGACCGGAAGAAAAAGGGCTTGTGTTACAAGTGTGGGGGCCCATATCATCCTCTCCATCAGTGCCCAGATAAGCAGCTTCGTATCATGATTGTGGAGGAGGAGGAAGGAGGAGATGATGAAGCGAAGTTGTTGGCGGTAGAGGTGGAGGAATCTGAAGAGGAGCACGGTGGAGAGATGAGTGTTATGAGTCTCTTTGAACTGAAAGAGTCCCAACACGACAAAGTTCATACACTCAAACTCAGAGCAACGATCAATGGCGTACTGGTGGTGGTGTTGGTTGACAGTGGGGCTACGCATAATTTCGTTGCGAAGTCCATGGTTCAGAAGTTAGGGTGGCAAGTAGAGACCACACCAGATTTTAGAATCAAATTGGGTGACGGGTTCCAAACCATTACTAGAGGAAAGTGTACTCAAGTTTTATTCAAAACTGGGGGAGTCACCTGTGAAATTGAGGCGTATCTATTTGATTTAGATGGGGTGGATGTAGTTGTGGGTATGGCATGGTTGAAATCTTTGGGAGATATGATAGTTAATTGGAATAAACAAACAATGGAGTTTTGGCATGAGGGGAAGTGGGTAATGTTGAGAGGGATAGAAGGAACATCTGAAGCAATACCGGCATTGCAAAGCATTGTAGGGAAGGCTAGCAAAGGCTACGGCAAGAAAGGATGGTCACTAGATGCAACGTTGAGCAACACGGAAGGGCGGGCAGAGGTAGTGTTAGAGCAATCCGTTATGCAGGAAGTATTGAAATCTTTCGATGACGTGTTCCAAGAACCTAAGGGTCTTCCTCCATGTCGCTCAAGGGACCATGCTATCAATTTAAGGGCAGGACAAGGTGCAGTCAATGTCAGACCATATAGGTACCCACACCACCAGAAAAATGAAATAGAAAAACAGATTAAGGAGATGCTTGAGATGGGAATTATTCAACACAGTTGCAGCGCTTTTTCTAGTCCCGTTATACTGGTAAAGAAGAAGGACGGGACATGGCGAATGTGTGTTGATTATCGTGCCCTTAACAAGGCCACCGTACCAGACAAGTTTCCAATATCGGTGATAGACGAGTTACTCGATGAGTTACATGGGGCTCAATATTTCACCAAGCTTGATTTAAAGTCCGGGTACCATCAAGTGAGGGTGAAACCGGAGGATGTTCATAAGACGGCCTTCCGTACTCATGACGGACATTATGAATTCCTTGTGATGCCGTTTGGATTGATGAATGCTCCATCCACATTCCAATCCTTGATGAACGAGGTGTTCAGGCCCTTATTGAGGAAGTTTGTGTTAGTTTTTTTTGACGACATACTCATTTATAGTAAATCGTGGCAGACACATATTCTTGAAGTAACCAAAGTGTTGCAGATTTTGAGGAGACATAAACTGGTTGCTAATAAAAAAAAGTGTCAGTTTGGCCAGAAAACAGTTGAGTATCTCGATCATTTGATCACGGGAAGTGGTGTAGCAGTAGATCCCTCGAAGGTGCAGAGTGTAATTCAATGGCCTATACCTAAGAACGTTAAAGGGGTGAGAGGATTTCTAGGCCTTACGGGTTACTACCGCAAGTTTATTAAAGATTATGGGAAGATTGCCAAGCCATTGACAGAGTTGACAAAGAAGGAGGGGTTCAAATGGGGGCCTCAAGCTCAAAAGGCTTTTGAAATTTTAAAGCAGAAGCTGACAACAGCCCCCGTACTTGCTTTGCCGGATTTTGAAAAGGAGTTCACAATAGAATGTGATGCATCCGGAGTGGGTCTGGGGGCGATATTAATGCAAGAGAGAAAGCCCATTGCTTTTTTTAGCAAGGCTTTAGGAGGAAAGAATTTGGCTAAGTCTGCATATGAAAGAGAACTAATGGCAGTAGCTTTAGCGGTACAACATTGGCGCCCTTATTTGTTGGGCAGACATTTCACTGTGACAACAGATCAAAAGAGTTTGAAGCAATTATGGCAACAAAAGATTACGACACCGGATCAGCAGAATTGGGCCACTAAATTGCTCGGTTATCAGTTTGATATCGTATATAAGCCGGGAGTGGAGAATAGAGGGGCAGATGCTCTATCCCGATTACCTGAAGGTGAATTAGCAGCTCTGGTCTCATATCCAATTTGGGAGGAAGGCAATGTGATACAGGAAGAAATCCACATGGATAAGGTTCTGCTGAAAATCATAGAGGAATTGGAAGAAAAACCAGATTCAAGACCAGGATTTAAGTACAAACAAGAGGTTTTATTTTATGAGGATCGTTTAGTGTTATCTGCACAATCTTCATTGATTCCCAAGATGTTGGCTGAATTTCATATTACTCCGGAAGGTGGGCATTCTGGGTTTTATCGCACCTACAGACGTTTAGCTGCTAATGTATATTGGATAGGTATGAAAGCAAGAGTGCAAGCCTATGTGAAGGCTTGTGATGTGTGTCAACAACAAAAGTACTTAGCTATCGCACCTGGGGGTTTATTACAACCTCTGCCCATTCCCTCAGCAGTGTGGGAAGAGGTCTCAATGGATTTTATCACAGGTTTGCCGAAATCCCGTGGGTTTGAAGCTGTGTTTGTGGTAGTAGATAGGCTGTCAAAATACTGTCATTTCATCCCTCTTAAGAGACCTTATACTGCTAGAACAGTAGCTGAAATTTTTGCCAAAGAAGTTATACGACTTCATGGTTTACCTACAGCCATTGTTAGTGACCGTGATCCTCTGTTCATCAGTAATTTTTGGACTGAACTTTTCAGGCTGCAAGGTACCACTTTGAAGATGAGTTCAGCCTATCACCCGGAAACGGATGGCCAAACGGAGGTTGTCAATCGATGTTTGGAGACTTATTTGAGATGTTTCATTGCGGACCAACCAAAATCCTGGCTGACTTGGATTCCATGGGCAGAGTTTTGGTTTAATACAACATTTCATGCGTCCACGGGGAGTACACCTTTTGAGTTAGTCTACGGAAGGAAGCCTCCTGTTATTACAAGACTCTTGCAAGGTGAGACAAGGGTGGCTGCAGTTCAAAAAGAGTTGGAAGAACGGGATGAAGCACTCAAGCAGTTGAGAGCTCATCTCCAAAGAGCTCAAGACCGCATGAAGTATTTTGCAGATGAGAAGAGGACAGAGTCCAGTTTTAATATTGGAGAGTGGGTGTTTTTGAAGCTTCGTCCACACAGGCAGCAATCCGTGGTATCTAGGATTAATGCTAAATTGGCAGCTAGATATTATGGCCCGTTTCAGATTGTGGAGAGGATTAGAGCTGTTGCGTATAAGCTGAAATTACCTGAGGGATCACGGGTACACCCAGTTTTTCATGTCTCTCTGTTAAAAAGGGCAGTTGGAGATTATGCAGTGGAAAGTGAATTGCCCCAAGAAGTTGAAGGGAGTTGTGTGGAGCAGTTTGTGCCTGAAGGAGTTTTAGACACACGTTTCAACGGGCTAGGAGAACAGAGAGTTAAACAAGTTTTAATTCAGTGGACTAATAGGGCGGCGGACGAGGCTACTTGGGAAGACATGGAAACCATAACAAAGCAATTTCCTGAATTTAACCTTGAGGACAAAGTAGCTTTTCTAGAAGGAGGTATTGTTAGGGACCAAGTGAAGAAAGATGGGCCAGATATAGAAATGACAAATCATATTGGGCCTAGGAGTGCTAAGATCTGGCAGGTTTATTCTAGAAGGAAAAAATGATCTCACACCATGTGATAGCTATGAGGTGGCAGAGAGAGAGTAGTGGCTTTAGCAAATATTGTTAGACGGTTACAATAAATGAGGAGGTAAGGGAATTGGGGACGTACGCTAGAAGATTCATTTAGCAATCATTGGATGGGGGGCTGTTAAGCACTCCATAGGAGCCTAGCTCTGTGGCAGTTAGATCATTGAATCTTCTGTAAATCTTCTTACCATCATACAATAATAGCCATTAATTTCTATCAGCTTCTATCCTTTTGTCTTAAATTTATTTGTTACTGTCGGTACCTAACAGGTTGTCACACGTCGGAGGGTCGCCGGAAGGTGACGGTGCGTGGTGGCTTGAACGTCATTAATTCTCCAGGTTCGAGCTAGTTTTTTTCAAGGTGAACACGATAGCGTAGGCGGTAAGACAAGGCGTGAATAGTGTTTTATAGTTTTGTCCACAAAGAGTAAGTGACTATAATGAAGGCAGCAAAAAAGGCCACCATGAAGGTGGCTAGGGTATACGAAAAAAGAAACCACAATGAAGACGGCTAGGGTTTTTATTGTAGAAGCGAGACCCTCTCGAACACAAATCTCTTTATATAGAATATTCTAACTTAACGGGCTTGACTAAAGGTCCAAACATAAACTACTACTAATAATAGTAAAAATAAATTATTCACAACACATATAGTTATTAATTGTTATTTCATTCATGAGAAGATTGCCTATGAAGGAATTAGCATAGCCTGTCTTAACTCAAGTGATCAATTAGCTGTTTGCTTGCAAAAACTCATCAGGGACATATATTTTTTTATGAGCAGCAAGTCAGCTGCTTTTGGTCTCAAAGATCTAGCTTGAGGGGCGATAGAATTTGTGTTTGCGCCCTAACTCAATTCCAAAAGCTTGTTCATAGGGTGAGGGTTACTCCTCAATTATACCCATTGTTCAGGAGATTTCACTGGCATCTGCTCTATCAATTGTGATACTTTTAACACCCCCCTTCTTGTTCACTGTTGGACACCAGGAGCATGAAGTTTACAGGATAGGACAGCTGTGGGTAGGCTAATAGACCCGTGATAGATCCTGATACCATGTTAAACTTTTGAAGTTTAAGACAGAGAGGAGAAAGACCAAAGTTATAGCCACATTCTAGATAGACTAAAAATATAATCAATTATAGTCATATTTTAGTCTTTATTCTTTCTGTCCTCTCTTTGTCTAAAATCCCATAACTTCAACAACGGGAATTGTTGAGATTGAATATCCCAACTATTGTACCACTTTCCAAGTTGCATGTATCATAGGATTCATTGTATCTTAGGAAGTTGAGTTAGGTTGATTACTCTTTACGAAAATTGTATTTTTTTGGTATATAAATATCATTCTGATGAATGTTCACTCGCTCGAGAATACTCAGAAACTCATCAAATATTGGTCTCATCAGTGATTTAATTAGCAATAAGGCTAAAACATTGATGCACATTTTTAAAAAATAATACAGGATATCACAGTTAGTAGAAAGAGGAAAAAGAGGATACCTAGAGCTAGCAGGATCTCTGATCTCAAACATATCTGCTCCAGCATCAAAGCCACATATCAACACATAGTGACCTGTCAATAATAGTTTTTTACTCTGTATTTGAATTTATCATTTGATAAATTTCAAAATGTTAGAATGAATAATACTAATTGAAGCATATACTTTTACGTCTTAGATTCTCGGTAACTGAAAGTCACACTGGAATTAGACTAACCTAAGTCGAGACAGTTAAAGAAGAAACATGTTAGTAATAGGCATATTAGGAAGTTTATTTTATTATTATTAAATGTTTGTGTGTGCAGTAACTGCTATGCAACTGCTTTGTAACTGCTCTAGGAAACCAGAATCATAAATATAGGGTGAAAGGGAAGAGGAAGTGTATTAGGTATTTTGTATGTTGGTTGGTTTGGGAGAGACTAGGCTCTCTAATTCCTAGAGGTTGGTTGATCTGTCAATTGTTGATTAAACAGTTTGTACTTTGGTATCGGTTCCTATCAACTGGATCAGAGCAGTTCTGATCCGAAGCAAGAAAATCACAATAGGGAAAAATGGACATGCCACAATTTGACGGCAGCAAAGATGCCTATTGGTGGTTGATTTGTATTGAGAAGCATTTTGATCTTGTGGGAACACCAGAAAGTGAGAAGTTGCTCGAGGCAGTGAAAGCCTTGAGAAACTATGCTCTCAAATGGTGGCAGTGGTGGAGTCGACGCCATCTACAAGCGAATTGGCAAACGTTTCTGGTTGCGCTGCTTTGGCATTTTAAGCCAGAGTATAGAGACCTCCTTCCTATATCCTATGAAGAAGAGGAACTTGAATTGAAATCGGAGTCGTCGGCGACTCACACATTTAATCTTCAACAAGAAGAACCAAACCAAGGAAATTCCGGTCTCATTCAGATAACAGAAGAAAGAAATGAGGAAAAGGTAGAAATTGCAAAAGTAGAAGATGGCCAAAATTCTCTCGTGAATGTCATCGTCGAAAAGCAAGTGACAAAAGCAGACTTTTGCAAATTTCTTGGTATCAACAGACACTATGATGAGCATGACGAGAGTATGGTGTCTGAATCAAGGACAAGACTGTCTAAAACAATGACCAGAGCGGGATGGGCTTCACTAAAGTTTGACACCCTAGTGCCAACACCGCCGAAGCCGCCAGATCCAGACGGGTCCTTGGTGAAGGGTGGATTATCCTTTGGTTTGATAAAACTGGCGCTGCTAATGCCTATTGCTGTCATCCTATGTTTTTGGATCAAACAGACCACTCAAAATAGAGTGTATGATCCAGGCATAAGTTATTATGTTTCATGCGTGAAAGTTATGTGACCCTGGTGGATACTTATGTTATCCTTTGTCTTCACCTTGAGGACAAGGTGATAGTTTAGGGGGGGAGTATTGTTAGTAATAGGCATATTAGGAAGTTTATTTTATTATTATAATGTTTGTGTGTGTAGTAATTGCTATGCAACTGCTTTGTAACTGCTCTAGGAAACCAGAATTATAAATATAGGGTGAAAGGGAAGAGGAAGGGTATTAGGTATTTTGTATGTTGGTTGGTTTGGGAGAGACTAGGCTCTCTAATTCCTAGAGGTTGGTTTATCTGTCAATTGTTGATTATAAACAGTTTGTACTTTGGTATTGATTTCTATCAAAACACTACTAGCATCTATTTTTCCCACTCACGAGACTCAAATTTGAGATATCGTTTAAGAGTAATCAATATCCATTTCTTTCAAGCCAAGAAGGTTTCACATAAATCAACTTGTTAACAATGTTTGAATGATTCAAGCGCACATCAGAGTGCTATGAAAAATATGACAAACCAAAAGGAGTGCTACATACTTATATAGCATGATTGTAACACAGTAACTTCCGTTTTAAGAATGCATACGAAGCCGTAGACAAATAAGTTAAAACAAAAATATCAATGCTCACCTGTGTAGTCAGAGTTATTGCTGAGGACGCCGGTGACATGAACATCTTCCCATGCATGACTGAAACCAAAATCTTTTCAGTAGTAGATAGAATTGCTCATGACTAAAGAATATGACATTGATGTGAAAGAAGAAAAATAAAACAGTGAAGAATTCAACTAGACCTGAGGTGACAAATTTTAGCTGTGGAATTATTGTTAATTTAAGTGTTACAGCCAAATAAGCACATAGGGAATTAGAAGAAACATATACCTCAATTTATTATGATCAACTAATGCAATGGCTAAATATTTCCCAGACAATATGAGAAAGGAAATCTCCTCTTCACTAAGTGACCTGCACTGTAAAAAGATGGAACGATTGTTGACAACTTACACAGAAGCAACAAAGTCATAAGCAAATAAAATGTCCGCAGAAAGAAAAAAACACATAAGGATAAAGTTCTACAAGCCAATTTTTTCAAATGCAAATAAATTTTCCAGAGAACACCATTTTATAGATGTGTAATTCCTAGTCTATCATACTCAATGTATGAAGTAGCAGTACAACTGATTTTATACCCTTAAAATATTTACTACCAAGATGAACGTAAGAAATAGATGTATAAAACATTAACTGAATAAATGACATTATAACATTTTCCTTTTCTTCTCCAACAGGTAACAGTCTAAGAACTTCTTAGAATTATACTCGGGGCATCCAATAAAATCGTGACGTGAAGTATACCTGTATATCAATTCCAGCCTCCATTGCATCCTGAAACAGCGTATCCACTCTTACTAGATCTTTAGGCAATTCCTCCTACACAACATTTAAACAAAACCTTAGCAACCTAATGTAATCAATAGACAGTACTAAATGCACGCTGAAGAAAGATCCCTGACAAAGTTCTTTCTGCAGCCAGGCACAGATACATTTTAGACAAAAAACAAGGTCACTTTTCTTTTAAAACCGGTGAATCATCTAACCATATGCCGGAATTAGGTTTCACTCCAGCATTAAAGAACTTGTAATTACCTTGTAAAAGGATTCACCACAATAGTTTGGGTTTGCACCAATTGTCACTGTTAAGTAGGAAAAAGTAACAGAAAATCTCTGTAACAAATACGCCAAATCAACAGTCCAAATGCTACAAAACAGTAGTCAACAGTGAGAGAAGTCGGAAGTCCATCATATATTTTCATATTAAATAATGATATTCATATGGATACTTTCGGGGGAGGGTATATATAATATTAATATGTTTTAGTATTAAACTCAGACTAATCGAAAATCAAATTCTGTTGTTGGCACTTGCGACATAACCTAGAAAAGTTAACAACCATTAAAATGAAAAACGAATTTGTTTATTTTCCTATTTGTCTCCCGTCTTGAACAATCTGTTACACCCTTTGGCTTTTAACTCAGATCCAGGACAGTGGGAGCCAATTCAAAAGTTATGTGTATAACCAGACTGAGTGAATTCCTATACTTTCAATTTCCTATTTTCACACCATCAATATATGATGACCAACTTTAAGTTAGTTTCTGAACTTTTACCAGCGATAATAAGGATTTTGTCATTTTATCATTGGTTTAGGGACTTCACAACTAACCCAAAACTTATTGGATTAGGGGAACCCAAAAGATTAAGGAGATCTAAGTCCAACCAAATAATTGAGCAAGGAAACACACAACAGTTTCTAACACCACATGGTTGTTAGTGTTCCTAGTTCCTACTATATGAACTTTAATATCCTTAACCGATTAAAAATGTCTGAACTATACTTATTCTTAGTACATTTGACATTGTCACATGTAAATCATCTAGAATTTTCAAGGAAGCCATATAACACAGAAACGACAATATCTAGGCTTTTATAGAGTGAAAAGACCTATTTGTGCAGCACAGGTCAGCCAGTGCTTGAATATCGAAGTTGTTGACACCAATAGTTTTCAGAACCATTACCACACAAGCAAGGCCGCAGTCCCATGTATATATTTGATTTATGTGTGGCACCTACAAGCATGATAGGGAAGAACTTTACTATAGTATAATGAATGGATAATGTTTGTAGTATACAATTTCAGCGATTAATCACATGCACTTACTTCAATGAAAAGTGAACGCCGTAATGACAGAGGATTGGAATCTATGTTACATGATAAATTCTGAAACAGGTATGGTTCAATCACCTTCAGATTTTCTCCCTTTATTTCTCTTTCATCTCCTGTTTTAAGAATCTTGTTGAATAGCAAGCATATGGGCCACATCAATGACTAAATTGAATGTGTACAATGTTCGCTTCCAAAAAAGGATTCAGGAATCAAAAGAGTTCAACTGTCCTAGTAGTGTATGTGGAGTACCAACTAAATTGATAGAGTACCTGCAGCAGCATTGACATAAAAATTATTAGAAGTCAGGCATACAACTAAAAAAAAAAATTGTAGTTAGAAGCACCAATTTCACCTAAGGGGCCGCAACACATAAGAACCTGAGAATTAAAGAAAAACACACCCTTAGGTCTCAACTCAAGCTTTCACCTACATGCAAACAATTTATCTTAAATCCATTTTTTTTAATTGTATGTTTGAAGCGTGCTACTGTTATTTTATCAATAAATCATAATCCGAAACTTCAATAACGTGGTTTCGTCAAAGGCGTAATTCCAAAACATGCATGCACTAAATCTTCTCGTGTTAAAAACCCAACAACAACAACAACAACAAAAAAAAAACACATGACCATCATCGTTTAATTCAATAACTGAACCAATTGATGCATCATGAGAAAATTCAACAAAACTAAACAAACAAAGCAATGAATCTACGAAGCAGAGATGAAATTGAACATACAAGGGGAGAGGTGAAGACGGCGCGTGTTGAAACGGAGACGGAGACAGACAGGTTGTTCAAGTGTTACGTCGGTTGGTGCCTTTTTAGTTGAACTTGATGATTTACGGTTTCTCTCTCCCATCCGTCAAAGTTGTTGTTCTTTTCTTTTCTAGGGTGAAAGTTAAAACCGGGTAGTTATGTCACTTATGTGCATATTGTTTTTTTTTCCTTTTCAAGACAAGATGATGTTTTTTGTGTTGAAATTTATTACTTTTTTATCTAGAAATAAAAAATAAAGTCTATTACTTTTAATTTCACATTAATTTGCTACGATTTTATATTAAAAACGAATAATTGATAATTAATTTTGAACACGTGTATTTATAATATATAATTGATGGATAATAGGAGAAAATTGACTAATTATATTAATAATATTAACTAATAAAATTAACAATTGAATGAAAAATATATATATATATATATATATATATATATATATATATATATATATATATATATATAATTTTGGCTTAATTAGTGGTAAAGTCCTTTAATTTAATTTTATATTTCATTTTAGTTTTTTTTTAACAAATATTATATTTTAGTCATTAAAAACGGTTTTGTTAATCAACTTAGTCATTTCCGTTAAATTGTGAGAAAAAATATCAAATTCCGATGATATGGCATGACAGTAAGGTATTAGTTGAATTTATGAGTCAACATATATGTATTAAAAATTTAATATTTTATTTAAATTAGGTAGTTCTGTTTTTGGAGGTTTAAAACTCCGCAAATTATTAATAATATATAAAAAATAACAGTTCTTCAATGGATCCATTATTCGAGATTTACAAAAACGTGTTAGTGTGCCTTAGATATTATGCGACTTGAATCTTTCATAGGCGTTGATTACTAAATTCATATTAAGCATTATACTTAGTTCTTGAGCTACCGAATCTGGATCGTCGATGGTACTGTGGCAAATGAATGATGTTGGGTTAAAATGATCTTATATCAGGTGGTACATTTTGAGGAAAGTATTGATGTGAATATCAAGAACTTGAAGAAAAAGAGCATCAGCAAGTCTTGCTGGAATCAAACCAAAAATATTACTTGAGCTCAAATCTAGCCTCATCAACATTCCTAAGTCACCTAAACTAGTAGGGATAGCTCCAGCTAATTTGTTCAACTTTAGAGCAAGAACACTAAGTTTTTTCAAATCGTCGAGCTGAGTCGATATGCTTCATGTTAACTGGTTATAACAAAGCTGTAAAACTACAAAAACAAAGTAGATATACAAAATTAAGTATAATTCCAAATTAGAAACTAGAACCTTGGAAAAAATCAGTAGAAAAAAAGAAAAATTATGAAATTTTATAGATAGTGAAAAGTGTTAGAATAATAATACAAGTGTAAGTAAGTGAGAAATAGTCCCATGTTGAATAAGAATGTGGTGATCTGAACATATTAGAATAATAATACAAGTGTGACTAAGTGGGGAAATAGTTTCACATTGGATAGGAATGTGGAGACTTGAGCATATATAAATAGGAGAACTCATTCATCTATCACCTTAAGGTTTTAGGTGGATAAGTGGTGTGTCTCTCACAAAGGTGCGTAATCACCAACTTTGTATCAATGCTCCCTAGTGAACTCCCCTAACAAATGATATCATAAGCCTTTGGTTCGAGAAAGAGACTGACTTACTTGTATCGAAACACTCAAGAAGTTGCTCCTAGTAACTCTCTCAATAAATGGTATCAGAGCCTTTGGTTCGAGAAAGGGATTGACTTACTTGTATCGAAATGTCCAAGAAGAGGTTTCTCATTGCCTAAAAAGAGGTAATGACGGTACAAATGTATGTGGGGAGCATTATGGACTCACACTTGAGAGGAGTGTTAGAATAATAATGCAAGTGTGAGTAAGTGTGAAATAGTCTCATATTGAATAGGAATATTGAGACTTTAGCGTATATAAGTGGGAGAACTCACTCACCTATCACCTTAACGTTTTAGGTGGATAAGTGGTGTGTCTCTCACAAATGTGCACAATCCGCAACAAGTCAGCCATAAATCTGGCGAAGAATCCAGTTCGGCATGAAAGAAGTAAGCATATCGAAGCTAGATTTCACTTTTTAAGGGAAAAGGTAAATCGAGGTGAACTTGAAGTTAGGCATTGCTCAAGTGAAGTACAGTTGGCCGACATTTTCACCAAAAGATTGAAGATCGACATATTTCTAAATTTGAGAAAGAAATTAGGAATAGTTCAGATCGACTATGATTAGCATAGGTTCGATAACTTGGATTAAGGGGTGTGTTAAAATATTAAATTAGATTTGATTAGATTTAATATTTAAATATGATTCAAGTTATTTTAGCATAAATTCAATTAGGATTGTATATAAATAGTCATAGTTTGTATCCTTATTTGTAACAAGTGAATAATATAATCTTTATTTCATTTATTATTCTCTCTTTCTCTCCTCACTAAAAGTGTCTCACGCACTAACAAATTGGTATGAGAGTATTATGGACTCACACTTGAAGGGGGGTGCTAGAATAATAATGCAAATGTGAGTAGGTGGAGAAATAGTCCTAAATTAGATAGGAATATAGTGATTTGAACATTTATAAGTGGGAGAATCCACTTGCCTATCACCTTAAGGTTTTAGATGGATAAGCGGTGTGTCTCTCACTAAGGTGCATAATCCTCAACTTTGTATCAATGCTCCTAGTAAGTTTCCCCAACAAAAAGTGCTATATTTAGATTTCTTATGAAATAAGATCATAAAATGTTTATTTATACAGAAAGAACGTAAATCATTTCAAGAAAATACCATAACTTACTTGAATAGAGTTTAGAAAAGAAAAAAAATATAGAAAATAATGTACCTCGTTTGAAGGATAATGATTGTGGTGTCATTTTCATCTATAACATGAGTCACATACCAAACAAATCTTGCTTCGGCTAGATTTTAACAAATAAATATTTTTTTAAAGACTTGTACAAACCATAAACAAATTTAACAAAAATGCATCTAGAAATAAAATCTCATAATTCTAATCTTATTTTAAAACCTAAACCCAAAGCCGAATCCACTCTACCGATTGCTTCAGTTTTAGATAATAGCGGATTCGAAAAAGCTCGTAAACCTGGAGATGGATTTGATTCATTTGATTCTTTTGTCATTTCATCTTAGAGGTCTTAAAATGGATTAGATCTGAAAATGAGGTTTATGAACATGTTGAAAGTTGTTTGAGAAATCCAATTAGAACTTAAGGAAGAGAATGAAGAGACATGTGCGTTAATGGAGGTTCCTGCTGAGGAAAAGAGAGAATAAAGAGAGATAAAGAAAAGAGAAAGAGTAGTAACGATTAAGGTTTTGGTGAAGAGAGAAGTAAAGAGAACGAGAGTTGATGCTTAATAAATTAAATAATAAAATATTAATGAAATAATTCCATGTCAACCATACTTGAATGAGCTGGAGTGCCACGTCAACCAAAATTAACACATTTTGACAAAATTTAACAGAAAGGATCAGTATAACTAACGGAATGTAATTTAAGGGACTTAAAAGGAACGTTTATTAAATAAGGGACGAAAGTGAAACATAAAATTAAATTAAAGTATCAAAGGATGCATTAAGCCTTTAATTTTCATTTCAATTAAGATAAATTGAGACCAATAGTTAATTGACGTTGAACTTGGTAGGTCGAACCATTGTTTAATCCTTCGCAACTGCGATAAGAAGGAGACTGGAATCACTTGATGTCAGAACTGATAATGAAAACAAAAAAATTAAGAGGAAAAATATTTTTTAATGTACGCGTGTGTGTCTTATGAACTTGAGGGTGTAGATCATCATCAACCTATTTGAGTCTTAGGTCCATATAACGGTTAATATTTCCTCTCCCAAATTTCTAACAATTGGCCTTTGTGAATGGGTTTGAAATCTCACGTGAGAGAGTCTAGATATCATGACCACAATGGGTGTCTTCTTTTCTTTCTATCAAACAAAAAAAAGGTTGATAAATGAAATGATGTTTCTATAACCGGCATTTCGAATAAGGGATTTTTCTCTCTGTATTGCTTAAACTATAAAAACTTAAAGAATAAGTTATTTTGAGTGTCTCATTGCAACGAGTTCCTTGAGGCCATATTTAACACTAAGATGTAATAAATTTCCTTTTTAATAGACTAATAACCATGCGTTAATCACATGTGTTGTACCCAAAAAATTTCCCTCTCATTTGTCAAGTATTTGCTCACAAGATATTCTACGACGTCAAGTTTGCAGCATTGGTACATCAATTTAGGCTTGAAATTGGCACAAGGACAAATGGACTTTTAATGCCCCATTTTACTTTCATGGATCATTTTGGACTCTCAAGATTGCTCATGTCAAGTTTCAGGTCTTGGATCGCATTTTTGCTCAGTCAATTGATCAGATGACCTAAAATCAGCCGTATTGGTGAAAAAGTCAACTGTAGCACCAAAAGTCAAACTTTGACTTTTTTTGGTCAACATTAAGTTTCAAATATCCCAATTCATCAAGACATTCAAAAATATCAAGATTGATCATCAAGAAGTTAAGAAAGTCAAAAGTCAACTTGAAAAGTCAAGATTTCCTAGACTTAGAAATTTTTTAAGTGTTTTTATACATGATAATTTCATCACTTCATGCCATTATTTCACCAAGATGTAAGATGATTCAAAAGAAGCTTTCAACATGAAATTTGTATATCTCTATGATATCTACAACATTTCTTTACACAACTTCTCCTAAATATGCTTGGATCTCAAGTTATAAATTCATGAAGTCATGACATTTTCATTTAACACTTAGAGAAATATTCAGCAGTTTTGGTAAGGTTTTTATCCCAACTTCTTGGCCAATTTTCATCAAGTTCAAATTTGATTTAACAAAAGTGGTCAACATGAAAGTTATAGAGGGTGTTTCAAACTTTCCTAAACATCCAAGAGCATGAATTTATCATACTTGAGCTAGGAGATTCAAGGGCATGAAGTTGGGCATCCACCCTTTATTTGCAAGTCATTCTATTGAAGAACACACAACAAAACCCTTATGCTATGCTATATAATCTTATGTTACAGGCCTTCTTTCTTGCAAATCTCTAC